AAAAAAAAAAAGAAAGACAGAATGTGGTGGCACATGCCTTTTAATCCCAGCGCTCAGGAGGCAGAGGCAGGAGGGTCTCTGTGAGTTTAAGGCCAGCCTGGTTTCTGTAGCAAGGCTCAGAAGGCCAGCCAGGGCTACATAGAAACCCTCTGTCTTATTTCCTTCCATTGGATGAAATTTTTTGGAGGGGGACTCTTTGGGTGAAAAGAAAAAATGCTGGTTACACACCGGAGAAGAGGATACTTGACAACTAGACGTACTACAGCACTGTAGCGTGGATCCTGCAACAAAAAGGGGACATTCATGAAAAAAAAATAGACTGTTAGGGTTAGACTAACAGGGTCTCTATTGCTGTGAAGAGACACCATGACCATGGCAACTCTCAGAAAATAAAACATTTAATTAGGTGGCTTGTAGTTTCAGAGGTTTAGTCCATTATCATTGTGGTGGGACAAGGTGGTGTGCAGGCAGACATAGTGCTGGAGAAGGAGCTGAGAGTGGAGAAGGAGCTACATCTTGATTAGAAAACAACAGGAAGTGAACTTAAGTAGGCATAGCTTGAGCATAGGTGACCTCAAAGCCCACCCCCACAGTGATACAACTTCCTCCAACAAGGCCACACTTCAACAAGGCCACACCACCTAATAATGCCACTCCCTATGAGCTTATGTGAATCAATTACATTCAAACTATCACATAGACTTTGCTTGGATAAATTTATTTTTTCTCCTTGGATGATTTTAAATCCACTAAGCATCCTATCTGTAATGTGGAAAAAGTAATACCCCTATTTTAGAAGGCTGTAGTAAACAATAAAATAATAATCCCAAAGCTACTATAGTTAAGAGTATATGAAAAATATCCATCAGACCTCATTCTAGGAGTTTCACATATGTTATTTTTCACTTAATTATTTCAATAATTATATTCACGAGTATACTGTCATCCCATCCTAAAAGTAAGAAAATTGATATAAGGTATAGGCCGAGTTTGATATACTCCCTGGTATATAGAAAGCAATCAGCATGTGCTAGCCACAGTTATGTCTGCATTGGACAGCTCCATAAGGGACTATACAGCTTTGACACTGTGTTAGAGTAGGTGGCCTTAGAGCAGTGGTTCTCAACCTTCCTAATGCTGTGACCCTTTAATACAGTTCCTCATGTTGTGGTGACCCCCAACCACAAAATTATTTTCAGTACTACTTCATAATTGTAACTTTGCTAACGGTAAGGTAAATATCTGATATGCAGGACATCTGATGTACCCCTTTTGGGGTAATGACCCACACACAGGTTGAGAACCACTGACTTGGGTGCTTGTTGAATTAATTGATAAAATAGTCACTTAGCTAGAAAACCAATCTTTCCAATTACCCAACAACTGTACTTTCTTTGTGTCATATTGTTGACTATTCTGCACTTACATGCTGTCTCCATGAAAATGGTTAAAGTATTCTGTGTGGGACAAGCCTAGGGTTTTGCAAGCACTCAGATTTCAAGGTGAAAGAATAAGGAGGCATCTAATAAAGTTAGTGGCATGGTGCTAATCTTTCTGAAATGATTTCATAAGATCTTGGTGATAGAATAATGGCCATAAGTTTGGCATTTGAAGAGATCTCAGTATTGCTTGAAGATATTAAAGGAGAAGGTATAATAATTACTTTATAGCATTCTGAGGATTATAGTAATCCTCAATGAAAGATGAATATTTTATAGTAACAGTATGGAATGAGAAATGAAATAAGAAGTATAAAAATATAGCTTATTAATATTTTAAATTAAATTATTTATTATTACCACCCAGAGGCTTATATTAATTTGAAATGCTCTGTCAATAGCTCAGGCTTATTACTAACTAGCTCTTACATTTTGAGTTAACCCATATTCTTTATTTGCACTCTGCCACATGGTGATACCATTATTAGCATGGCATGTTCATCTCCTGCTCCCTCTATGTCTGGCTGGTGACCCCTCTGACTGCCCTACCTCATCCCATCATTCTCATTTTAACTTTCCCGTCTAACTTTATCTTGTTCAGCTATTGGCCAGTCAGCTTGTTTAATTAAACCAATCACACAGTGTACAGAAGGATTATTCCTTAGCAGTAGTTTTTTCATTTTCTGGTTTTATTTTTCTTCACTTTTTTTTTTTTTTTTTTAGTAATTAAAACTTTATTGTGAAGAACTTGCAAATGAAAAACATCACACAGCAGGATTAAGCAGAACCAAAGTCTCCACATCTCGCAGGACTTTGGGAATGCTAGAACAGTTGTTCTGAAGCTGGAGCTTCACAGAGGATTCTGCACATTCACTATAAATTATATTTTTATGCACTTATCTAACACACACACACACACACACACACACTCCACAACAGAGTTAAAACTAAAAAATAATTAGCTTTATACTCTCTTTCTTGATATGTGTGTCCTTTACTTGCATTCTGTCCTTCCTCATCACCTAATATTTACCTTTCCTTGCTATCCTTTCTACATGTTATACTATACTCACATGTACATTTGTTTATATATATTATATATAATAGAGTGGGGCCTCCTGTGAAGGAGGACATTGGAATCTTTCTTTTTGAGATTGTGTGACCTCATTTAATATTATACATTCTAAGTCTAACCATTTTCCTGAAAGCTTTGTGACTTCACTTTTATTTAGAGCTGAATAGTATTTCATTTTATATGTGTTTCAGATTTTTATTATCAACTGTCATCTGTTTATGGACAGCCAGGTTGGTTCTATTTCCTTACTTGCTGAATAAAGCAATAACAAACATAGAGTATAAATATCTCTATGGTAGCTTTCTTAGCTACTTTTCTATTGCTGTGATAAAACAACATGACCAAGTCAGCTTATAAAAGAAAGAGTTTAATATGCCTTATGGTTTCGGAAGGTTAGAGTCTATGATGGCAGAGTGAGGGAACAGCTGAGAGCCTGTGTATATCCACAGCCACGAGGCAGAAAGAGGTCACTGGAAATTGTATGAGCATTTTGAGACCTCAAAGCTTAACTCCAGTGACACACCTTCTCCAACAAGGTCACACCTCCTAATCCTTCCCAAACATTTCCATCAACTGGAAATCAGCTATTCATATACATGAGCCTGTGGAGCCATTCTCATTCAAACTATCACATTCCACTCCCTGGTCCTATATGCTCTTGGCTGTATCATAATTTAAAATGTACTTAGTCCAGCTTCAAAAATCCCCATGGTCTTTCATGATCTAAACACAATTTAAAAGTCCAAAGTATCTTCTGAGAACCAATGCAATCTCTTTCACTGCAACCCCCTGTAAAATAAAATCAGGTGTTGAGCATGCTGTCCTAACTGCTGTGCATTCATACGTGCAGCTGCGTGCTGTGTCCAGAAGCACTGCTTCCTTGTAGTCATCCACTGCCTCTGGCTCTTGCACTCTTTCGCTCTCTACCCTGAGATGAACCCTGAGCCTTGGGAGGGGGTGAGATGTCAATGTCCTATTTAGGGCTGAGCATTCTTCAGTCTCTGAAAGAATGTTGATCTTAAGGTAGATTAGACAACGTGGAGTGTCTTGAAAGCTCACCTGGCAGAGTGCCTACCAAGCATGCATGAATCCCTGGCACTGCAACACACACCCATAATCTCACCACTTAGGAGGTATAAGAGAACCCAAAGTTCAAGGTCATCCCCAGCTACATAGTGAGCTTGAGGCCAGGGTGGCTTGCAGGAAACACTATCTGAGAGAAAGAGAGACAGAAGACAGACAGACAGACACACACACACACACACACACACACACACACACACACACACACACACAGAGAGAGAGAGAGAGAGAGAGAGAGAGAGAGAGAGAGAGAGAGAGAGAGAGAGAGAGAGAAACAAAATTCATTCATTATGGTCAATTCCTACTAAGTGTCTCTAAGGCATTGGCCATTCTGATACAGGCTTAAAGTATAAAGGGAGAGGACTGACTGATTTTCTGCATCATTGAATAAAATAGATAAAAAATAATGAAGGATGTCAGAATTGTGTGTCTGAAATACAATTCAACAGATATTTGTTGAGAGTTTTCTGATGAGACATGCCACCAGGGTCTGTGGGAGGTGAGTGACTAATAATATTCTCCACTCTCAGGTAGCTCGAACTACCTTAGGACTAGACAACGTGTAAATCTGGAAAACCGCAGCAGGACTCAGAGCTGGATGAGCAGAGCCTGGTCCTAATGGGGGCTTCTATTTGTTCATAGCCAAACTGCCACATGCATAGCATAACTAACATGGCCACATAACAGCCCTACCTGTAACTAAAAACAAATCACTATAATGAAAAGGCATAGTTGTGGATGTTAACGTGGAATCCTGAGGATAGGGAAACAGGATCTGTCAGATCATGGCTCCAGATGATTGGTAGAACTTTTTTTAGTGAGAAAAGGGGGCCTCTGTACCTGTGATTGACTCAGTCTGGCTCACATGTGTGATGCAATGGCTAAGATTAAACTGAATGCTGACAGCCCCAATAGATGCACAGTGAGGAGGCGTTCCTGGAGGTGGACGCTGCTCGGGAGAACCGGAGAAGGTCACAAATGTTACCCAAAGTCTTCACTGTTTGGTCATTAGAATAGGTTATTTGAGTAGTTTAGGAAATTCTAACGTTGTCTACAAGTAGAAAGTGGTAATTTTATAATAAAACTGTTAACCACACAGACTCTCATTTCCCAGGAAGAAATGACAACCAAAATTTTGGAGCATAAGATTGCTGAGCCCTTGCAGAAAGTCAGCTAACTACTTGTTCATGTCTCAGGCAGCAGTCTCCAAATTTATTTGACCTGTTGAGTATTTGGGAAAGCATCCATATACGTTAGTTTGATTATTAGTAAACTCAGCACATGTTCCAAGTTTCGGCTTCCTAGTTTCCTAAGATGTCTGAGAGAGACAGTGAACCAAGAAAGAGAAACATTTGCTTATCATTTTTTTTTTTTTGGTTTCCTTTTGTTCGCAGGCAGCAGAGTGTTGTGGTGCCAGGCACTGAGTGAGGACAGACCATCCCAGCGCAACTGCTGCTCTGCCACTAACTTCAACTGCTGTCCATTCTTGTCATGGCTCAGCGGGAATGAAAGTGCGGTGTTCAGGATGGTGAGCTGGGTGGACAGAGATGGGCACTTAGACAGTGCCTGGCATCCACTGAGCACCACACAAGTCCTGGACACCGGTGGGATTATTTCCAAATTGGTTCTCCAGGTAAGAATCTTTAAAAGTTGCTTTCTTACTTGTGAGGGCAAACTAGTTAGAACCAGATAATGTAAACTGTAAATCTACCTCATTGAACTCTCAGTGACTCTTTTGCTGAAGAAGAGTCATTCTCTACTTCCCTCAAGGGACCTAGGTACAATACATGCCAAGGGGCCACTAGATAGGTGTGCCAAGTGAATGTGCTTCCATGTCAGCAAATCTTAATGTTTCTTCTTTTTTATAAAAAGTAAATGTATGTGTGTACATATATATGCACATGCATGCATGCATGTACACATAAGTGTATGAGCTTATGCTAATATGTATGTTTGTACATATAAGTATGCATGTCTATGTAGGTATATACGTATGAACATGCACATACATTTATAGGCACACAAGTATGTATTTTACATATACACCCACTTGTCCAAGTGTATGTGCATGCATAGATTTTAATGAATCTAGATGTGTATACACATACACATATATATCTGTGTGTATATACACTTGTATTTATTTGTATACATGTACATACTGGCATATCTATGTATTTTGTATACACATAAACATGCACAAGGTTTATGTGTGCATATGTAGATTATAGAATTCGAGTACACTAATATCTTCTTACCCCTCATTGGGTTTTCTGTATTTCTTGTGATGTGCTCAATCACTTTTGTTTCATTTTGTGGCTCAGTTTTACCATGTAGTCTTGGCTGGCCAGTTGCAGAGATCCACCTGTCTCTGACTTCCAGTGCTGGAACTAAAGGCGTGTGCCCCAACAACTGGTTGATGAGCTTGATCACTTTGGAGGGCCCTGTGCTCAGAAATCTCCTGGTGAAATTTTCAGTCTGCCTGAGCCTTGGGTGAGAGAGAAACCTAGGGGCAGGAAAGGGCAGGCAGAGCAAAAGGAATCTGGCCCGAGCCAGATAGCTGCAGGCAGAATCTTGCTGTGAGGGCTCTTCCTACACAAGTCAGCGAGGGCCTGAGTTTCAGATGCAGTGTGTTCCAGAAGTACAGATCCACTTGACAAGAATGTATTTACTGGCCACCACTCTACCCAGCACTGTGCTAAGGATGTTGGCACTAAATGGTCATTTGTTCAAGGAGTTTATGTTCAGATAGAAATGACTAACACCAACAAATTCGTTCAATCAGAATTATTTTTATATGTGTCAAAATATAAATATACATACAATTAATAAATAAGTAGCATTACTCCAAATACAGAAGTCTTCAGGGGAAAGTTTTCCTGGACAAATAAGGCAGTACTTGAGAGAAGTATTGAAAAGAAAAATTGTTTGCTTAGTTGAATATTAAATAAACAAATGCCTTTCTTAAAGTGTTTAAGATGTTATAAATGTAAATGGAGCCACTGCAGACATGAATATGTAAATTCCATGAGGATTTTTGTGGGTTCTTGTTTACTGCCACGTGCCTGATGCCTACAATAATAATTGTTACATAGTGAGTTCACATTTCTTAACACAGAGTGATTAAAGAGACTGCATGTGTAATGTTAGGTGGGAGTCTTCATATTTTCCTTTTGAGTCAGAGTGAGCATTATGGTGACACTGAGCTTAATCTAGTGCCACTTCCAGAGATGAAAAACCAAGGCCCAAAGAGACCCAGTAGCCAACTGGAGGCAGTCCGGAATCCAGGCTAGAACTGCCGTGGGACTGTTGTTTCCTGATTTCTAGCCCAGTACTGTCGTCATCCAATGGCACCTCCTCAAAAATACCAGGTGGCCACAGTCCATCCTCGGTATTCAGACCTTCTCGAGAGCCAGCAATGCATCTGACTCCAGCAGGCTGCAGGAAACGAAGACAGCTAGCGATTCTTCAGTCCAGCTGCCGTCTGTGCTGTGTTTGGCTTCACTTGAAACCAGTGGTTCCAGTTGCTCTGAGTCCCCCTTTCTTTGGAGCGAGGAAGAACAAAGCAGCATTATATCCTCAGGTGCCACGTAACTTACATAATATAAACACGAGCTCTAAGCACTTCACTTCACAAGGAAACCAGCCAGGATGAGCATAGCCCAGTCTCAGGCCAGCATTTGACAGAAATGTGACAAGAACATCTCAGAGTTTGTCTGCTTTCTTTCTTTCCCTCTCCCTCTCCCTCCCTCCCTCTTCCCCACCTCCCCAGTGCACCGCTGAGGATGAGGATTGAACCTAGTGCCTTGTACACTCTACTGCTGAGTTACAGCTCCATCTCTGTTATTTATTTTTATTTTGAGGGAGGATCTCTCTCAAATTGCCTAAACTGACCTTGAATTTGCTATGTAGCCTGTGTGAGCCTCTAACTCCTGCCTCAGTCCCCTAGTAGCTAGAATTAGATAGGGGCCTCTGCTACCACTCCCAGATGCCATAGTTGTGAAGGTCATGCTTTGAATAATCATAATAAATACATGTTGGACATGTATTCAAATTCAATGTAAATATACATGAAGTTAATGTATATTCTCTCAACCATTGCATTTTATATAAAGCTGTGTGAGGCTCCAATAACTTAGAATTCTATGGTTACATTTATGCATAAACCAGGCCTTTCCCTAACCCCATTTAGTCTCTGCATAAATATCATTGTCTCAAAGAAAATTACTCTGTCACCAATTTAAAATAGAGAATTTCTTGAGTTTACCCAGTTATTTCCACCTTTTAGACTTAAATTCATATTTAACACTGAATTTTCAAGCCTTAGTTTGGCAATCTGACCTACTCAACTTACCTTAGAAGAGTCCACTTTTTCAGTTTTATCAGTTAGGCCAGCCTACTGCCATCTCTCATTAAAACTAAGAAGTAGTTTCCTGTCCTCTAATAACTATCTACATGGCAGTTAGAATGCCTTTTTTTTTTTAAAGAAAATATTTTGGGCTGGACAGTATACTATTATGGAGAACCAAATTTTGGAGCCCAGTACCCACAATGGGTGGTTCACAATCACTTGTAACTCTAGCTCCTGGGGAACCCAACACCTCTGGTCTCTTCAGGCATTTGAACTCACATGAAATAACATCATAAAGACACATACACATACTTGTTTTTAACTATTAAAAAAAGAATGAAAGAAAGAAAGAAAGAAAGAAAGAAAGAAAGAAAGAAAGAAAGAAAGAAAGGAAAACCATGTATTAGTTACCTTCTCATAATAAATACTTAAGCAGGGGGAGGGCTTCTTTGGGATTACAATTTGAAGGATACTATCGGTCGTGGTGGGGAAGCCATGGCAACAGAGGACGAGGCAGCTGTCACAGCTACAGTCAGGAAGTGGCTAGAGCACAGGAAGCAGGGCTGACCCATAACCCCAAGGCTTGCACCTAACAACCCACTTCCTCCATCAACCTCTCTTACAAAGGTTACACAACCTCCCAAAACAGTGCCACCACCTGGGGACCAAATGTTGCAACACTTGCACCTGTCGGGGCATTTTATATTCTAACAAGTCATATCCTATTATCATCTTTCAAACTTTTCTGTGCCTCATCTGGTAAAGACCAAAGCCTCTAGCATGGCCAGCAAGTCTCTGCATGACCTGTCCCCTCCCTGCTTTTCAGTTTCCTCAAGGGTACCCACCACTTTCATAGTTACATTTCAGCTCTATTCTTTAGTTCTCCAGAGAAGCTGGCTTCTGCCTTCACCGGGGCTTCTGTACGAGTTTCTCTTTCTGGGACGTTTCTTCTGTGGCACTTGCCCCTGCTCCACCCATTCCCTTTCCACAATTTTCTTTCTTTTAAAATAGTATATAGGAACTATATTACAATAATTACAAACTAATGGTTCCATGAGGACATTTTCAGAAACACCTAACTTGTAGTTTGTTTGTATTCACCCCTGCCACCACTTCCACCCCCGCCCCCCATCATCATCTCTGGTCCCTGTTCCTTCCCACCTGTTGGCCCTCATCTTCCTCCCAGCAAATTCCTTCTCAGCTCAGTCTACGTGTCCTCAAGGAGGCCTTTCTCCCACTTTAGATGAGGTCAAAGGCCTTGTTGCGTACTCTCTTATGAACCTGTTTTTCTCCTTCTAAACACGTAACACAACTGTAATCAAATACCTATGTTATTTATTGTTCAATGTTTGTTTGCCCCAACAGAATTAGAGTGCTATGAGAAAGGTCTCATTCATCCCCATTGCTGCAGTAGCAGGAAAAAATATTTGTTCAATGAATAAATAAGAAAGTAAGTTTTTAAAATTTAAAACAAGATTTATTTATTTAATGTGTACGTGTGTGTATGTGTGTGTGTTTCCACACTCGTGTGTGTTCATGAGTGCTGTAGTGCACATGTGGAGGTCAGACTGGGACAGTTTGTGAGAGCTGGTTTTCTGCTTCTACCATATAGGCACTGGGAAATCTAACTTGGGTCATCTGGCTTGCAACCAAGCTCCTTTACCCACTGAGCCATCTCACCAGGTCCAAAGAATAATTTTTAGGGGCTGAAGAGATAGATGACTTCGTGGTTCAGATCCTAGCATCCATTTTGGGTGACTCACAACTATCTGTAACTCCAGGGGATCTGATGCCTTCCTCTGGCCTCCAGGAGCACTGCACTCATATCTACATAACCACACAGAGATAGATACAAACATTTATACATTAAAGTTTAAGTAAAATAAATACTTAAAAAGAATAATTTTAAAATAAAAAGTTATGTTACCAAAAGAAGTATTAATTCATGAAAAGGAATAATTGAACATACAAAGGAACATAATATATACTGTGAAACAGGACTAAACATTGCTCCCAAATGAAGCATACACACATCATTCAGTTTGGACTTCTCACAAAAAGGTAGAAGAAATGTGCAGCTGCAATGATAGGAAGAAAGGAAGCAGAGATGCTTTAGAAAAGGTAATTGGGGCCCTTGAGGGGCTTAGCTATCTATCAACTGAAGGAGACACAGCCTCATCCTAGTCAGGAACACTGGCTTCTCCCTTGTGGGGTCGTCTACACCACCTGTCAGGGAGAGAGGAGTAAGAGAGGCTGTGGGCATGCATGAGGCAGGGCTAGAAGAAGAAAGATGAGCATCTGGAGGCAAGGTTGGCAGCACTGTGCCATGGAAGAGGGAGTCCATGGACTGCAGATGACAACAGCACATAGGACGCTCTGGTGTTTGGTGTCTGGAGATAGAGCAGGGAGGGAATGAGCCCTGCTTCTTGAGTTCTCTGTAGTTCACCAAGGAGATGGTTGGATGGGAAAGGCCTAGGATCAGACCCTTCTCATACTCTTAGATTCCTGATGTTTACAGTGCCACACCCAGGGTGGTGCCTTGTGAAGCTTATTCTGATTCTAGGGGAAGTGCAAATGATTTCATGAAAGGTTAATCTGTTAATTTATTGCTGTGTTGTAAGCTTTCATTATATATTGAAATTGATTGCCTAGAGATATTACAAATTACACAGTACAAAAGCATATGGACAACTATTATAAATTCACATTTAAGAAAATACCAACTCTCTATTATATTGTGGGCTTAAAGCCATTTCTTTCAAACCTGCAGTAGAAATGGGAGCCATATGATGGTCTTATTCAGAAATTAGCTTTGGTTGACAGTGAATACTCATCCTGATGCTGCTGTGCTGCCTGAACAATCACATACAGGAAAAGATGGACGACAGAAAAGATGCTTAACCAAAGACAAGTATTCAAAGTGGCTTGAAAACTCATTGAGTGTGAATTCAAAGACCACCCAAAGATGTTCCTCTCAGTTGATTTACCCTGAGCATCCTTTATTCTCCTCTCTTGACCATTTTATAGAGTTTATGCATGGAGGCAGCAAAGTGTGGAGCTGCTAGGAGCAGGGACCTGATAAGCCCTCCCTAGGGGCTCAGTACCGGAAGGTAGAAGAAGATGGAAGTGGACTAGAGGAAGGAGAAGTCAAAAGGAGATGCCCTTTGGGATGTTGCAAACTTGTAAGGATTTTGCTGACACAGCTAGTACAAAAGAAGAAGACTAGATCAAGACATATATCCTTCTGGGCTATGCAGGTTTTGTTTTCTTTTTTCTATTGAATAACTTATTTTTTATTTGTTTGCATATATGTGTCTTTTCGAGTATAGAAGCACTGGGATCCTTGGAGGTAGAGTTACAGGCAGTTGTGAGCCACCCAGTGTGGGTGCTGAAATTGGCACACAGGTCCTCTGGAAGAGCAGGCAGTGCTCTTAAACACTGAGTCATCTCTCCAGCCATGTTTTTATTCTTTATTTTCCATTTTCAACTGAAATAACCCCATAGGGATAAGATAGCTAAATTCTATTTCTCACTAATCATGGGAAGGCTTACAGGATCTCTATGCATATTTGTCAGTGTGACGTTTCTGTCTAGAATGTTTAAGAATGTATTTAGAATAATAGCTCCAACTAATTGAACTGAACATTACATGTTATGCTGTTTTTCATTGAGCTAATCCCAGGTGGGTGTTTTTAAGTTCAGCGTCTTAGAGCAAATGATAACCTAAGGCTTAGGAGCGCTTAAGTCACTAAGTCACAGCAAATACATGGTAGATCCAAGAGCCAAACTGGTAACCGCCACCCCCGTAGCCAATTCCATGCTCCCATGCTGCCACTCCTTTACATTACTAAGTAGACAGAATGAGCACCATTTCCCAAAGTTAGGTTAATCGTATTTCCTGATGAATTATCACATACATAACACTGTTCTATACTAATGTGTGGAATTTTGGGATGGAGAGAGCCATCTCCTCTTTTTTTTTTTTTTTTTTTTGGTTTTTCGAGACAGGGTTTCTCTGTAGCTTTGCGCCTCTCCTGGAACTCACTTGGTAGCCCAGGCTGGCCTCGAACTCACAGAGATCCGCCTGGCTCTGCCTCCCGAGTGCTGGGATTAAAGGCGTGCGCCACCACCGCCCGGCCATCTCCTCTTTTTGTACCCTCTGCTTGGTACAGTTCAAAATATTCTGTGCATAATAACATAGTGCTTACAGTAGCTTCAGCAGACAGTCATGATCATTATCTTTATTCTACAGATAGAGAAATGGAGCCACGAGGATAAAATGATGATTCTGAGATGTCTTCAAGGTGTTCATCTTTCCCTGGGTCTTTCCTCGTAGATATGCTGGGGGATTCACTTTCCTACCCTCTCATAGTTAGGTGGTCTTGTGACTAGTGATGGACAGTGAGGTGTGAGTAGAAGTGATGTATGTGATCATTTCTGTGTGGTAGGTCACTTCTCTGCTGGAGCATTTAATTGCTACTATGTGCTTCTCTGGTGCTTAAAACAGATGAAGCGTATCTATGGCCACCACATGCTAGAGTCTCCCTCACCCTGGATTCCTGAATAACTATGTGGAGTAAAATTCCATCTTCCATCATGATGGAAATGAGCATGAATAAGAAGTAAACCTGTGTGCTTCGGCATTGCCATAGCTATCCTAACTCATCTAACGCTTCCTAACTCACACAGGGTCAGAAAGCTAGTTGGGATGGTATAAATATTCAAATTCAGACAATTTGGATGAAAAGCCAATGCATTAACTCTATCTTAGAAATGACTTGTCAATGTTGAGAGTTTATGGGAATAAAAAACAGCCTGAGGCCCATGTACCCACTCACACTTAACCATCTAGACCCAGCTCTGGTGAGGGGCAAATATTTTTCTGTTTCTAAGAATATCATTTCATTTTCACCTGAAGCACTAGATAATCTTAACTTTTAAAAAGATGTATTATAATATTATCCTTCATTATGTATATGTGTGTCTATGTATGGGTATGTACACATGGGTGAGTGCAGTTACCAATGGAGACCAGAGGCATTAGATCTTTCTGGGCGTGGAGCTACAGGTGAATTGTGAGCCCCCTGACATGGGTGCTGGGATCTGAAGAAGGGTCCTCTGCTACAGCAGCAAGCATCTGTAGCCCCTGATACAAACCTTGATGTTTATAGACAGGTGAGTATGTCCAGGTGCCACAGTACTCTTCTTGAACAGTATGTGGTTATGTGTTAAATTAGAGCTTTCAAATTTCGTCAAAACTGAAACATTTTATGGGTTTGATTTAGTCATCTTTGACCCTGAGTATTTAAAACGACAGTACTAGCAGCTAAATGAAATGACTCCAAATGGGAATCTTTAATAACAAATAAAAGACACTGTTAGCTGGTGAAAGACAGCTCTCTACGAAAGAGACCCAAAGGTGCTCTGAATGCATTTTAAAAATTTATAAGAAGAATATCTTACAACGTTCAGAAAATAAAAATGCCAGGAAAGTGATTCATATTCCAGCCATCTATTATAATTACTTTCAATTTATGTTACTCTTTAAATTTTTGTCACTTTAATTTGTTATTTAAGAAAACAAATACTTTTTGCAGTTTCCCAAAGCAACCATCCATGGTTATGTAGACAAACATTTATCAGTCTCCTATTGTTGCACATTTAGATTCAAATACAGTTTATTAAAGAAAACTTTACTGCATGATATTGAAAGTCTTATTCATTTTTTATTATTTTGTGGCTTATAAGAAATGTACAAGCTAGGCATGGTAGTGCATACCTTTAATTCCAATATTTGTCACAGGCAGGTGGATCACTGTGAGTTCGAGGCCAGCTTGGTCTGCTACATAATAGATTCAAGCCAACCAAAGCTACATAGTGAGACTCTGTCCCCAAACAACAGCAACAAAAACCCCAACTAAAACAAAGCAAAAAGGATATGTACAAAGTCTTCTGTGTTGACAAGACCTGGAAGGAAATGTGAAGCTGGTGTCATCACAGTTTTCCTGATACTTAATTATACTCTAAGCCCTCGTGTTTTAAAAGTGACTACATGGGTTTTGGTCAAGTGTATTGGTTTGTTGTATTTGCTGCTAGCCAAATACCCCAGCCTGAGTGGCTTAAACAGCACAGACTTACGTCCTCACAGTTCAAACCATCCCAGGTCCAGTTTCTAACGAGCTTGGGAAGAGCTGTAACCTGCGTTTCCCCTCAGTTGTTATTACTGTACTTGCCTGATTTGTCAGTCAACTCTTCTCTGTCTGTATTTCTCTCTCCTCTTCCTCCTTTCCCCTCAGCCTGGAGAAGAGCTAAAGTAGAAATTTAAAAAAATAAACAATTCTGGTAATTATCCACTTCAGGGGCATTCTCACATATTGTAAGTTTAGAATGGTTTTCACTGGACCTCATGCTACTTAGTAACCAAGAAACAAAAATGTTGCCTTCCTATAA